GAAGGAGGGGGGAAAGGGGAGGGGGGGAAACGGGGGCCGGTGGTCCTTTGAAAGGAATGGAGGAGAGACACACCTTTGGTAGATTTACTGGTAGAGGTAGCAGACCAAGTGTATCCTTTCAGTCGAGATACCGAAGGACAATTTTAGCCCTGCGCTTTTCCTGTAGTCCTCGGTTCTCCCGGGCAGGTCCTTGGTCCCAGGTGGGACGGTCGTTCTAGCGGTCGTTGGTTCCAGGCAGGTCCTTGGTCCCAGCTGGGGGATGGTCTATTCTAGCGAGTGTTGGTCCCAGGCCGGTCCTTGGTCGTTGGTCCCAGTTGGGACAGTCGTTCTACCTGTCCTTTGTCGGTCGTTCTAGCCCTTGGTCCCAGTTGGGATAGTCGTTCTACCTGTCCCAGGCCGGTCCTTGGTACCCGTTGGGATAGTCGTTCTACCCGTCCCAGGCCGGTCCTTGGTCCCAGTTGGGATAGCCGTTCTACCCAGGCCGGTCCTTGGTCCCAGTCCCAGGCCGGTCCTTGGTCCCTCCTCCCTGGCTGGAAGGTGGTTGCGGTAGGGTTTACCTTTGTTGTGGCCCTCCTTTACCCCCTTCCCTTAACGGGCCCCCCCCCTCCTCCCCCCGTCGTCATCCTTCTTCCTAATGTTTTTTGGGGATAAAAAAAAAGGGGGTAGCCCCTAATATTGTTGTATCCAACAGGCGGTCAACTTTCTTGATCTGTATGACAACTACAGATACATGGCTACCGTCTTCCCCCGAACACAGCGCACCCTTATTTTGGTTCTCTGGCCGGATATATAGCTTGTATACATTCGTTTTTAGGGTGCGTTATGTTCGGGGGAAGACGGTAGCATCATCTCCATCGTAAAGGATTCTGTCTTCATTATCATTCTCCTTGTTGTCTCTTCACAAAGGACGACGATGGTGGTCATCGTGGTGATGGTGATGAGGATGATGAGGATAATGATGATGAAGATGCTGAGGATGAGGATGAGGATGATGATGATGATGATGATGAATCAGAACGTCCTGATAGGTGAATTTGCATCCCTCATCGTCAGGACACGGGATGCATGAAAGGATGTGTGTGTGTGTGATGATGATGATGACGATGATGACGATGATGATGAATAGGTGAGTTTGCATCCCTGATCGTCAGGACACGGGATGCACGAAAGGATGTGTGTGTGTGTGCGAGTGTGAAGGCGCGGGAGGTAGAGAGGAGGTGTTATTGCGAGGGGTGCTGTTTTTTTGTTTTTCTTTCCTTTTTCGGAAAGTTGTTAGCTTTTATTGGAAAGGGGGCCTTCTTGTGTCACCTTTGACCGGGTGGACCATTACAAATGGCAGATGTTAAACCGCCAGTACATCCAGCTATCGGCCGAGGGCCCTTTTCGGAGGCCGCCCACCGTCGATTAGATTTATCTACGGCGCTGGGCCTCCAAAAATTTCGTAGGCGGCGAGTTTTCTTTTCAGCAAGGCTGGGGCCGTGTACTGGCGGTTTAACACACTTTTTTGCGAGCTCCTTGGTATAGACTGACAGAACCCCAAATCTGCACTTTGGGGGGGGAGGGGGAGGCGGTGGAGGCAGGGCGCGGGGCGGGGCGGGGCGGGGCGGGGCGGGGGAGGCTCTGCATGAGAGCTGTGTGGTTCAGGCACGTTGTCGAACACTATGGCTATACTGTGGATGGTGCGCATTCTACATGCATATGCCAAAAAAGTAGGATATTTAACAAGATCAAAGTGGAAACACGTGCTGCCCGAAATCGTTCATTGGCGAAGCAACTATTTGGGTATGGTGCGCCGAGAAGGAACACCAAAAGCGAAGGCAGCTTTCTGGGCGTTAGCTGTAGTTTGAGAATCTGTTCGATTTCAGATAGGTGATTGTAGGCACCAGTCGTTCTATTCTTATTTAAACTGCCGCTACCCACGACGTCAACATATTTGGGGGAACGGTAGCATAGGTTCATTAGGGCTACCGGTAGCACAGTGTGGAGCACTGACACACAGAGTGGCAAAAAAATAAAAATGTGTTGAATTGCCTCCGCAATTTATTTCGTGATTTGAGCGAATTTTTTAATTTCTTAAGATATTTTTCCTGGAAAGATCACGAGCAGATCTATGGATCCTCAAATTTTCAGAGTCTTTCACACATTCTTCTGAGCGCGAAAAATTGCTGAAGTTGGAGTACTTTTCCTGTTGGCCCGCGAATGGCACAGTGGCAAAACTGGAACATGCACCGAATCGGCGTGGCGACTGTTTCACGGTCAAAATGATTTTTTTCCCCCTTCTTTTCTGATATTTTTCCTGGAAAGATCACGACCTAATCTACCGGTGCTCAAATTTTCAGAATTTTCTATGAACTTTTCTGAGCGCGAAAATTTGCCAAAATTGCCACTTTGAAAGCGGGACTAGGCCTGCCGTCCCGTGTCGGCCCTCGGCCTCGGCCTCCAGTCGCCGCCTTCCCTCAAGACCCGCCCGAGCTCACCGGGGGGGTGTGCTATTTCTGGCTGGTGAAGCAAGTGGTGGTTTAAGAGGATCATAAAGGGTCTCCGCACACGAGTCATCATTCGATAATGTTCTTGATACACTAGTTGGTTTATATAGGACCACGCCGCCATCTGTTTTGTCTCATTTGAGCGCACAAATTCTTCTTCTCCTCCCCCTGTTCCACCCCGCCTTCCTTCTGGTGCCTCCCTCCCTTCCTCCCCACCTCCCAAGCAACAAACAGATTTTGATAGAGAGGGAGTGCAGGACAGTGACTGTATGATATTCCCTGCGTCGGCACAACAACGAGGAGCAGAACCATGACTAGAACTACAGCTGCAGAACCATGATGAGAAGCAGAACCAGAACCACATGCAAACCTTAACTAGCAGCATCGGAACCGGGACCACAACCAGAATACCAGCAGCCGAACCAAAACCAGACCCGAAACCTTAGCCGGAAGTGGCAGGAGAACCGGGATCAGGACATCGAGCACCTGCTGCGGAATGAGAATCAGAACCAAAACAGAACCAGAATTACCAGCAGCAGAACTAAGGTCTTCCCCAGAGCACAACGCACCCTCATTTTGACTGTACAGGGGCGGAAAGATAGTCTGTATGTAGGCAAATTGCGGTTCGGGCCTGCCGGATGGAAAAGGTTGGCATCACCAGGCAAATCGTGCGCCATGCAGGTTCGCCAGGAATTGGCACGTAGCAAAATCCGTGATGGGGAACAGAGACTCGGACAAATTGGTGGGTTTAATACATCAGTTCTGTCCTGATTGTACCTGGTTCGAACATGTCCTCATGGGATGCCTATTCTTCAGAACTTTTCACAGCCCGCTTGTCCTCTCTCTCTCTCTCTCTCTCTCTCTCTCTCTCTCTCTCTCTCTCTCTCTCTCTCTCTCTCTCTCTCTCCCCTCTCTCTCTCCCCTACTCTGCTGAATCTCTGATGAAAAGATAATCATGTCTGTATGACTTTGAAGTTTCAGATACAGAACAGGTCAGACAGCATTTTTAAGTGGGTGCAAAACTCTCAGGGGACAAAGTGGAAGGCAATCTGACAATCTTGAGTGATCTTGGTGATGTCTGGCAGGGTGAGCCTACATTTGTTTGGTATGGCTTCCTGATGTGTTTGATAGCAACGGCGGCACGCGCACTGAAGTCTGTTCTCCAGGGCATATTATTGTCGTCAAATGAGTAAGCTCCCTCAAGTTCCTCAACCATTTTTTGTTTTGTTTTTTTCAAAGAAAAAACCGTTCCCTTTTCTCCCTAGACCTAGACCTCTCTTTTTTGTTTCCTTTTTTGATTTCTTTTTTTGTTTACTTTTTTGTTTCTTTTCTCTTTTAGTTGACTGAATAATAACGTTTTGCATCTTTCTATTGGACTGGCTTGGAGGAAGAGGAAAAGGAGGAGGAGGAGGAGGGGGAGGAGGAGGAGGAGGAGGAGGAGGAGGAGGAAGACGATTCCCACCCCCTTCGAATGATCTTTCACTATGTCTGGTTTGAGTTAACTATATTGTGGCACATGTAACCCCCGGAATGTTAATATCCGAGCAAAAAAAAAAAACTTTCAGTGGTGGCAACCAGCTTGTATTCCTTACCCGCGCATACCGGTGCCAGTAGATAAGGTGGCCAGCGTTCGTTATGAGATAGCTTTCTGTACCTATGCACAAGCCTTGGGAGCCCATAGGGAGGAAGCAAGAGAGAAAAAGGTACAGGAACAGAGGGAGAGTGGAGGGGGCAGAGTAACGCTGAAGAATGGGGTGTAAGGGGAAGGTAGGGGTGGAGAAACAGAAAAGAAGTGCAGGGGGTGGGGAGAGAGAGAGAGAGAGAGAGAGAGAGAGAGAGAGAGAGAGAGAGAGAAGGGGTACACTGAGAGCGAATGTGTGCATGTGTCGTCCATCGAAAAGGGTACCTTGAAGAACTCTACCATCGAAAGGTGAAGGTAGGGGTGGAGAAACAGACAAGAAGATATTTTTGAAACTAATTTAATAAATTTAGGCATTGTGATTGGCACATTACTCTATTTTGGCGTGTGACTACCCTAAATACAAGTTATCTTATATTCAAAAAAAATATTAATAAAGAGCAAGGTAAACTTTGAAATAAGTACATGATTCAATCGAAAATTATCTAATTGTAATTTGAATAATAAGAGGAATCGAAAGGTGAAGGTAGGGGTGGAGAAACAGACCAGAAGAGAGAAAGAGAGAGAGAGAGAGAGAGAGAGAGAGAGAGAGAGAGAGAGAGAGAGAGAGAGAGAGAGAGAAGGGGTACACGGAGAGTGAATGTGTGCATGTGTCGTCCATCGAAAAGGGTACCTTGAAGATCTCTACCGTGGACGAAACGCTGAATTTTCAATCACAAACTCTGGTGCATGCTCTGTCTCCCTGAGATTCTGATGTTCTACTTATCCCTGAGGGGTCAGTGAAGTCTATGCTTTTCTCTTTGCGCGGCGGAACAGCAGTTATACTACGCCAGTCCATTTCCAGGATCGCATCCCATAAGACGAGGTGAAAGCGGCAATGATTTCAAACAATGGCACTCTGCTTCCATCATGGCTGCAAGCAATGCAACCCACGAGCACCGCTGTCGATGTCTTCATCCCTCTGCCTCTCGCTTCCCTCTGCCTCTCTCTCTTCTTCCCTCGCCACCTCAACCCATTCCATCTAGCGGCTCTAGAGGTCGGAAGCGCCCTGGTGGTTTCTGCGTCTGAATTTTGAATCGGGTTTCTCGAGTTTCAGCGATGTTTTCAAATTTTGAACATGAGTGTGCAGTCTTGCTTTCCCCTTTCCTGGACTTCTTTTTCCCACAGAGGAATCTTTTACGCTTGTGTGTAAGTTTTGATCGGGGCAGGGAGACCTGAACAGCCTGTTCGTGTTTCGAAATTGTCAGGCCCGACTAGTCTTGGTGCAATGAATCGACTGCACTGTGCAGGTGGTTAGTTACAGATTTTGCAGAGTCGAGACGCTTTCTGAGGCAGATGCTAAATGTGGTAATTGTGACTTCACCCGAATAGGACACCCGGTCATTATATCTGTATTTGGTGCAGCTTTCAGTCCACATGCAGCGATAATGAAAGGGCATTCGATTCGGGTGAAGACGGTAGAGTCCGAGGACTGTGTAACGGAACGGAACGGGGGGCTTGTTTTCACCTGCGGCCATGTGGCTCTGTTTTGCTGTCTTGTTTTTTTTGTTTGTACTCGGTTTGGTGTATTTGTATCTGCAGTGAGAAGCTGAACTCCATGAATCTGCTGCTGTATATGGCACCTGTCTCCGTCGTATTGCTGCTTCCCGCAACGCTGTGGATGGAGGGCAATGTGTTAGGGATAACCATTCGCCTAGCGCACGAGTCTGGAGCGATTGTGTTTTATCTCCTTGCGAACTCTACTTTGGCGTATTTCGTCAATCTTACCAACTTCTTAGTCACCAAGCACACAAGCCCCCTCACTCTGCAGGTAAGCTGTGCGAAGCCTTTTTTTTTTGTTTTGTTTTGTTTTGTTTTGTTACAGAAAAAGGGCCAGGGTGTAGTAGAGGTTTTTTTTTTTTTTTTTTTTTAACAGAAAAAGGTCCGGAGTGTAGTAGAGGGTGGTGGCTGATGTTCGTAGAGGAGGGGACCCCGGAGGGAAGGCGCAGTGGTTGGTCTTGTTGGGATGGTGGTCCCTGATGCTACCAGCTGTCCCCTTCCCCTAGCCGGTATCGCCCACCTGCAGGTCGGGTGCAACCCCCGCATGTTCTCTCTTGAACACGGTTGTCGCTGCTATGGGGTTCCCCGTAATACTATGATTAGGAGTAGTGGTAGGTAGGTAGGGTAAGCGGAAATTGAGCGAAGCATCTAGCTTATTTTTTCCAAAAAAAAAAAAAAAAAAAAAAAAGGACGGTGGTGGCCAGGCCTCGGGAGGTGCCCGTAGTACTCCTCCATTCAATTTGGGAGGTCAGATGGATTGCAAGGACTCGGGGGGAGTCGCCTCAAGATGGCACCATTGTACCATGACCTATTCTCCCAGCAGGCAATTTGTTTTGTCTGAGCTGCATGCAGAGCACATCTTTTTAGGGATTGGGCCTACCGGAGCAATATGGCTGGCACCACCAACCAGGACGGCATAAAATTGCTCCTGCCCTGGATTTTTGTTCTGTTTGGGTGCGCAGCATTGTTCACCTTGGGAAAAGAGAGGCTTGGGAAGTAGCGGTGGTCTTAAACCCCGCCAGTACACGGCCCCAGCCTTGCAGAAAGAAACTCGTCGCCAACAATTGCGAAGCCGGAAATGTCAAAAGCTGGGTCCGCCGTTGATAAATTGAATCGGCGGCCTCCGTAGTGTGTTTGCCACCTCCGAAAATTGAGGTGTCAGGCCTGCGGCCCAGCTGGCCGTGTACTGGTTGGTTTAAACGACCACTACCTTTTTGCCGAGGCGGAGCAGAACTGCGCGCCAGTGCGGCCTTTTTCGTTTTGTTTTGGCTGGGCCCGTGTCGCCCCTCTGCTGGCCTCCAGAAAATGAGGTGTAGAGTCTATAGGACCTAGCTCTCCAGCCTGAGAGGCAGTGGTGGTTTAAGTGTAATTGAGTTCGGAGTATGTTTGTCTGTGTTTGACAGAGCTTGAACCATTGTTATGCAGAACTCACACCTGGATATATCCGGATGGTCTGGACCGGAACGGTCTGGTTCGGAACGGTCTGGTTACCCATCTGTACGTCCAGATTCATTCAGACAAGGGGTTTCCCTCCCCCCCCCCTTTGCCGACAACCGAATCGTCTGGGTGGCTGTCCAGCGGTCTTGAATCTGGATCATAACTCTGAAGTAAGTGAGCAGCCAGCTTGGACATGCATGGTCTTTTTCAGTCATCTGATTACGTTGGGATTCGAACTCAGGTCTGTAGTTCAACATTGGAAAATGAATGGGCTGGCTACTCTGAATTTTGCTACCCCTAGGAATGCCCCCCCCCCCCCCCCCCCCCCCCCCCCCCCCCCGAAGGTTAAGTTTTGTACTATGTTTGGCCCCATTTGACACACTTGGAACCCGAGTGTGTTTGCAGCCTGCATATGCATGGGTCAGTCTTCGACTCTCGACTTCGCCACCCTTCCTTAAACCACCAGTACTTGGCCCATATATTGGCCGCGGGCGCTTGTTGTGTACGTGCCGCAAATTTCGGGCCGTATACGTTGATAGATTTGATCAATGGCCCGCTCCGGTTCTTTTTTCGGCGCGCAGGGCGTCGTCAGGGTCGGAGAAAAGTGCCTCGGGTTGGTCTAACTTCGCCCTCCGAACCTTGCTGACCTGACTTCTTAACCGATGGTTTGTGTGTTTATAATAGGGTTCTAACGTTGTATGTGTGGTTGTTTTGTGCCAATCCAGGTACTTGGGAATGCGAAGGGTGCAGTTGCGGTCGTGGTATCGATCCTACTTTTCCGGAACCCAGTCTCTGTTGCAGGCATGGTGGGGTATAGCATCACTGTCGGAGGTGTGCTTTTGTACAGTTATGCCAAGAGACAGTACAAGTGATCTGGCCGCAGTTGGTAGCGCGTCGGATGATGAGGGTAGCAACAGTTTTGATTGCTCGCTTGACGAGGTGTCGTTCAAAACAGTCAGACAGAAGTAACAAGTGCGGGGAGGCCCGGTGGGAACGGAGACGGCAACGACACCTTGGAAAGGAGTGCGTCCGCATGTTGACACGGGGCAATCGCGGAAGCGTAGGATCCGTCCGTAGTTTGCGGCCAGGACACGGAAGGTTGGTGGTATGGCTGCAACGATTGGCCAATGCCAACTCGGAAGGAATTTGGATAAGCATCATAATCATTTTTTTTTTGTGACTTTTTCACTTTTCTTTTTTTGGTTTGGCAGCTTGCACGCAGCGCAGGCAGTAAGTATGTCGTGTCGACCGTCGAAAGATTGTTCCGCCTGTTGTCCCTTGCGTGGGTTTCGGCTGCAAGCCTCCTACGCACAGATGGCCTTCCGCTTCTGACGAGTGGCGAACATGTCTGCGCGAGACGTGTTGCCAGAGGCCTGGGAGTCGTTCGTCGTTCAAGAGAGAGCTGTATCTCCGCTCTCTCTTTTTCTTCATAAGGCTATTAGCCATTATTCCATGACTGTCCTGTCTTCCCTGAAGGGACCAGGAAATGCCTTTGTAACACTGACACTAACAGTTCCAGTTCCAGTTCCAGTTCCAGTCCCAAGTTCCAGTTCCAGTGTGTTGTAGGATTGGTGGCGGCGCGGTGATGAGTGTTGGGGGCAATAAAGGAAGGACGAAGTCCGACGATGCTACAAGATCTGTAGAGGAGGGGGATTCCTGTCTGCGGTTGTGACCGACGAGGGGCTTGATTCGGCTGGGGACTGACTCACGCCGTCGTTCCTTCCTTCGGTCGAGTTGTGGGCAAGGAGGTGGAGAGAGAGAGAGAGTTTGTTCCAACGAGGGGGGGGGGGGGCATGAGAATGCGGAAATTGCGAGGAGTAGGTCATCAAGCTGTTTTGCATGTTGATGACCCATTGGGAGATCAAGTTGGGTGATCGATGCGGTGATAGTCAGCGGGCGGGCGGGTCCGCAAAGGTAGGGTTTTACTTTTCCTTCCCGGAGGACGAGAGGTGGAGTTCCGCTTTGTGTCGATCGTGTCAGTCTGTACCTCAGCCAATGCTGATCGTCTGCTCGTGACTAAATGCTGAAGTCGTGAGCGCAGATGGAAAACCTGTACAAGGTATAGCAAAAACACGCACGCATCTGCAGTTGTGCTTTGAACCTATTTGGGGCCGGGGGGGTTGGGGGGGGGGGGGGGGGGGGGTTGCTGGATGCTGCAAGACATGTACGGGGGAAGAGGTGGTCCCGGATGATGTTCCGAGCAGGTCAGTTTTGCCGGCAGGTGATAGTCAAAGAATGAGTCGGCGAGATGAAAAACGTTTTTGCTGAGCTCTGCGGGAGTGTGGAGGCGGTCATAGCAGTTTGAGAATGCAAACTGGGCCCCTATGGCACTGGGCCCATGGGACTGGACCCATGGGCAAGATGTCCCAAAGAAATTTGAATTTGGTCAGTTGAGGGAGGCAGGCGGGGCAGGGGGAGGGGGGCGGGACGCCGGGAGCGATTGGGAAATTATGCAACTCTGTGTGGGGCTCTGCAAGACTCTGGATATGACCGACGTTGGAGCCAACGTTTATGCGATTTGATCTGAAGATTCTTTCTACGCTCTTCGGGACTGGAGGAAAGGTGGTTGGCATTGTCAATATTTTCCCAGACGATAGGAGCGATGCTCTATCGTCCTCCCTTTTTTTTTTTTAAAGTCCTGAAAATGGGATGACCCCTGCTCTCTGACCCTGTGTCAGGAAGCAGTAGTACTGCTTACTCTTCTGGTCTCAGCTTGATGGGAGTGAAATTGAATTAAGTCAATTTAATTGGTCATGCCTTGGATTAACAAATGCCCACAATGAAATGCTGGAATACCTTTGAAGCACAACTACAGATTTGGACTGTAGGCTGCTATCCCTTTATATGAAGTGAAAGCTGGTGATGAAGAGTTTTGAAGGCTTTGCTAATCTTTGGAAATGTATGTGGCTGACGTCTCTCCGCATGCCAAAAGCTAGGGTAGCGCTAAGGAAGGGAGAAGGAAAAGGAGAGGAAGATGTGTGTGTGTGTGTGAGCGTGCGCGCGCACGCAGGGGAGAGAGAGAGAGAGAGAGAGAGAGAGAGAGAGAGAGAGAGGAAGGTCTGTGCAGCCGCCATCTATTTTTCCACGGAACTGACGTCTATTTCGCAAGGTGAAAAGCTTTGACAGCTGTTCGGCTTGGAATTGTCGATCATTCGGTTCTTCCACCTGGTCATGCTGTGTGTCCCTGTGCAAGACCAGTGGTGAAAAATAAAGCCATGATTCTTGTCACCTGGTCTGTTTTTCTCATAAGCTGGACATGTTGGTTTGAACTTTGAACTTTGAACCCAAGGTGACTTCTTTGAGGCTCTTTTCTCTTGTTGGCACTATGGACTTGAGTTTTTTTCTCTTTCTCTCGGCTTCTAAGGTGCCGCAGTGAGCGCTATTGGTGATAATTATTTGCTCAAAAGTTTTTTTTTTTTTTTTTTTTTTTT